CCTTTGCGGGGGCATTTCCCCCAACAGGATGATCTTGAGGTCCCATGGGAGGTGGTAGGCGGTTAGATAATGCCATGCTGCATCCCACCATTGCCAGAGCTGGACGACCATGGTGCAGTCCACCAGGCAGTGTTCGAGTGTAGCTCGTTTCTTGCGGGAGGTCCCACTGCAGTAGGTGGAGAGTGGAGAATGCACACCCCGGACTTCCAAATTTGTTCTAGACACAATCCAGTCTGGGGTAGGTAGACACCTGTGGATGATCTGCCACTGCAGTGCCCACAGGTTTGTAGGTCGTATGGCCTCGTAATACTCGTATGAAGCCCATCTGATTGTGTCCAGGTCTTCTGCTTTGAGGGGACGGTGGCAACGTATTCTGGCGATAGTCTATACATAAAATGAGCTTTGAAATAGATATGGACACACCTGTGCGTTTCTAGGGATGTCATTCCCACTGTCCATAAAAGTTTATTACAATAATATCGAGTTCTTTCTTACTACGTATTTTTGTCTATTTCTTAACAAGAAATCAGCATCCTGTGGATTATTTTGAGGTAGATGAAGAAGAGAACAGCTTCACAGATCTAGTGGCACCTGGCCTTGTTCCACATCCAACCACTCCTCCTCCTCCCCCCTTCACTCCTCCTCCAACATTTCATTCCCATTACTCCCCTTCCCACTTCCCCCGGTGTTGTTCTTCTTTTCGGCCTGAGTCTTAATCCTCTTTGTGAAAAAACGTGGGGTTTAAGAAAAGCCGAAAGACAGGACCGATGGCACATGCAGGCTGAAGATAGACAGAAGAGGAGGAGGAGGAGGAGGAGGAATAGTAAGAGGCAGCGGCGGAGGCGGCAGCGGAGGAGGAGGAATAGTAAGAAGACCAATCAGAGGTGTCTTCAAATTCGGTTTCCGACCAATCTAGACATGCGGAATTTGGGCAAGGGACGACATGGGCCACCGATCGACAACATGGCCGCTTTCTTCTTCTCCCTCTTCCCCCTGTCCCCTGCCTCTTTTACTATTCATGTTTCTTTCTATTCCCCATTATTCTTCACTCTTTTTCTCCCAGGTCTATCCCTCCCCTTTGTCCTCTTGCGGTCACCCTTTCGCTGAATACAATCATTCTGAACGACGTACTCAACGAAAAAAAGAAAAAAACACTCAAGCTGCTGACGTGGCAGCTCGCCATTCAACGATGGAGGAGGAGGAACAGAGGAAGGAGGGAAGGAGGGAAGGAGGAGGGAGGAGGGAGGAGGAAGGGAGGGAGGGAGGAGGAAGGAAGGGAGGAGGACAAAGAAGAAGGGAGGATGAATCGATGACTTCAGGAAGTGGACGGTAAGAAAAAAGGAAGAAAGAGTGAGCTGCTGACGTGGCGGCTCAGAATTTGACGAGGGAGGAAAGGAAGGAAGGATGGAGGGAGGAGGAAGGAGCAAGAGAGGAAGAAGGAAGAAGGGAGGAGGGAGGAAGGAGGGAAGGAGGGAAGGAGGAAGACGGGACGAGGGAAGGAGTAAATGCGGAGGTAGAAATACGGGGGGAAAAACGTGAGCTCCCTACATGGCCGAATGCCATTATTCGAGGGAAGAGGACGAAGGAAAGAAAGGAAGGAGGGAACGAGGAGGACTCGGAAGGATGGAGGGAAGGAGGAAAAATAAATGGAGAAAGAGGAAGGAAGGAAGGAGGGGGGAGGAGGAACAAGGGGGGATATTTGTAGGAGAAAGAAAAGACTCCAGGAAGCGGAAAGGAGGGAAGAGGGAAGGAGGAGGAGGAGAAGAGGACTCCTTGAAGTTAACAAAAAACAAGGGGGAAAAACAAGCGCTGTTGACGTGGCAGCTCGTGTTTCCACAACAAAGGAGAGGAGGGAGGGAATAAGGAGGAAGCAAGGAGGACGACGAAAGGCGGGCAGGAGGAAGAATGATCAGAGAAGGAAGGAAGGAGGCGGCATAAGGGGACGAGGGAAGAGGTGCAGTCGTCAATGAAGTCGACAAATTGAAAAAAGAACAAAAAAACAAAGCGAGATGCTCATGTGGCAGCTCTCCATTTGACGAGGGAGGAGAAACAAAGTGGCGTCAAGCGGAAATGCAGTGGCGGAAGGGTCAGTGCCTGCATGCTCCTTTCTTCTACTGCTTCACCTGTACTGGACCCTTGTCCTCCTGCTCCTGCTCCTCCTTTGTCTGTGTCTGTAGTAAAGGCGCAGAGCGGTTGGATTGGAGTGCGAAAAGGAACAAAGGGAGGTGGGGAAACGGCTAAGTAGAAGGAAAGGGGACAAGGAGGAGAGAGAAGCAAGACGTCCAGCAGGTCTGGGGGGAGAAGGGAGGAAAGGAGAGGCGCATGAGAGAGAAAAGAGAGGACAGAAACGACGAGCGGGTGCGACAGGGAGGACAAAGCAAGGGGAGTTGGGCGAGTGGTGTGGAGAGCCGCAAGTGCGACGAAGGGTGACAAGGAGGAGGGAAGAGCAGAGACGGTCGACAGGTCTGCCAGGACGAGCCAACGAAAGGACAAGCAGGAGCGATGAGAGGAGAACGCAAGGGGAGTTCAGCCAGTCGTTCATTCTTTGCGTACATGAGGTTCAAACTACAATAGCGTACAAATTTGAAATTTCAACATTTCGTTAACTGTTGATGTTTAAAACTTGTCTATACAGCGAATGAACGGTTGATTAGTCATCCACAAACCAAGCAGAAATCATTTTTAAAAATTTTAAAAGACAAAAAAAAAAGGAACTGGTTGTTCCGGACTCTGTGGAGTTACTGGAGTAAAAGCTGAATGTGGACATCCTTTAGGCTTAAGATCCATCCAGTGAAGTTGTGACAGTATTTACTTCCCTCTTACCTCTGATGAGCTATGGGAGATGACAAGGGTAGAAAGAAGAAGACCGGGAGGGGAAAGGGGGAAGAAAAGAAGAAGAACGGGGAAAAATGGAGAAAAACATTTACCTCGTTGCCTGTGGAGATGGCGTTTCAGCAAATTAGGCATATTATCTACAAGCAAAATAGCGAGTAAAAAGTTTCACTCGTTGCCTGTGGAGATGGCGTTCCGACAAATTATGCATATTATCTACAAGCCATTCTGTCCCCACCCCCCAGGGGGAGGAGCAAGTGCCCCTACCGTCTTCACCCAAATAGAATGCCCGGTAATTATCGCCGTATCTGAGCTGATAGCTGTGCCAAATACAGCTATAATGACCGGGCGTCATATTCGGGTGAAGATGGTAGACGCAGGGCAGGCTATGGGGGGCACGAAGGAGCAGAGAGCAAAGGAGGACGCAGAGGACACAGACTCCCAGCCCCCTAAGACGGGTGGCCAAGGAAGCCTGGAAGAGAAGGAGAGGAGAGGGTAGAAGAAACTGCAGGACCCTCAACGCCAGTTCAGAATGCAGAATCTGGTAGAGAATGACGGTTTTGACAAAGATTCTGTGAAACTTTTAGCTCATTATTCAGAAGTTGTTTGGAATGTTTACACACATGTGGGACCCATTCAAAGAGATCGTAAGTATGGGAATTATAGTAAAATATATTACCGACTCTGGTTCGGAACAGAAGAACTCAAAAAGTTTCTTCGAATTATCGAGGGGGTGCTGACTATACCGTTGAGAAGAATAGGAGACGATATGGAAATTGGCCTCTCACCTATCGAGGGAGGGTTCACCCTACTGGGGTGGGATTTCCACAACATTTGGTCGCTTCCCTGTCTACGGGACAAAGACTTTGACAGCAAAGCACAGGACTTCATCAGCGAAAATTACCTTGTAGGGGTTCACGCAACTATTAGCTGTTTCAGGTCGCAAACACCGACCTATATATCCTCGTTGAGGCGGCCAAGGATTCGGACCTTGTGTGGTACAACCACAACGCCCCGATGGACCTCCCAACTGCACAAGGTCAAGGCCAACACCTACCGTCTTCCCCCGAACACAACGCACCCTCATTCTGACTGTATCTGGCCTTAAACATACCTTGTATACGTTCCTTTTCGGGGTGCGTTATGTTCGGGGGAAGACGGTAGTGGCCAGAAGAGGATCTCCTTACGTGCCTCTCCAAAGTCCTCAGAAGTGGTTTGCTATGCACAATGGACTGGTCCCGCAGGACATGGTTCAGATATAGGGTTTTAAAGGAGGGAGGGGGGGGGCTCAGGGGATGACAGATAAGTCGACATGGAGGAGGTTGATATCTTATATAATAAGAACACAAGGTGGAGGGACTGCCTTAATTCTGCATACCTTGACATCCGATCTATCAATGTGAATGGGCTGGCCACTTATAAGTTATAACCCTGCAAAAAGCCAGGGCATCTGGGACCAGATGAGAGGGGTAGGAGAAAGGAGGTGGGCGGACATGGTATGTATCCAAGAGACTCACCTCATGGACAAACAAGCAGGAACATCATAGAGACTTGAGAGAGGGTGAAGAGAGAGTTTGGATTTGATCGTGCGCGGAGTGATAGAGGGGCGAGGACAAATCCGTCGGGTCAAGACAGTGGGAAACCCAATTGGCGAGGCCGATTTCTGTACAAAAGGCGGCCAGGACGTTATAGTGAGGAGGACGGTGGGGGATGTAGGATAAGAGTATGCTTTTGTGAAACAACTTTGTCTAATTGTCTATCATCCCTCCTTTCATCCTTGTATGGTGAACATGTTGACGACTTCCTTTCTGCCAATCGTTTAGCTCGTGAAAAACCGAACCAGCAAGTTCTGTGAGAACAACCACATAGCATTAGATAGTGAAAAGAGAACAGGGAGATAGCACATGCAAGGGATGTTAAAAAAAAAAAAAAAAAAAAAAAAAAAAAAAAAAAAAAAAAGAAAGAAGGAAAAAAAACATCCTTTCATCACTACTTTACTTGCAAATAAAATAATTTTGGATCAACATTTCACTGAAGAAACTTTGATGAATAAATGTTAAATATACAAGTCGTTGTAATCAAATTTTCAATCAAGAAAAAAAAAAAAAAAAAAAGAGTAAGCAAAATCTGATAGAAATTGAAGGATTAGTTACCGAATCTCCTCCTAATGCTATGTTTCGTATTTGTTCAGACAATGGTTGTGCAGTACTTGTTCAAATCTATCTCCAACTCGCTCGAACCGACGAGAGGATCTGCCATGGAGGGAGGCTGTGTTGTGAATAGGGGTGACATGGCGTGTGAGAGAAGGTTGGGAAGGGTGATGTTCAATCCCTTAATCGGATGGGTGAATGACAAGCCTCCACTGCCTGACAGCGATTGGCGCCCCCCTCCTATAACCTCTTACCGATGGCAACAATTGCAAAAAAATGTTCAATCGCTATCATACCAAGTGGAGACGTTCCGTTGCTTCTGCTTGCAAGCTATGCTTGCCCCCTGGTCTTTTGGGAATGGTACGGTTATGGTTCTTCTCGTTCTGACGAACTTCGACGATCGTAGCTTTTTAGGATGGTCTGCTCAGGAGGGCGGGATCAGATGAATACAGTCTCGCTGAATCACCTGTGTGCCGAGGGCTGGTATCTCTGTTACAACTTACCAGCCCTCGGCACCTTCTCAGGAGGGCGGGACGGAGGTTATTCTCTGTGCGGTGGGTTCTTCACAATTACGATAGCAAAAGAGATTGCTGCAGTGGAGGGCAGCCGTCTCTCCGGCTGAGTATGTGATCGAATCCATAGAAGCGCTATACTTAGGGTTGACATGGGCCAGCAGTTATACTTTCTTTTGGAAGCAATCAATGCTGTTTGACTAAGTAATCAGTGGAGGAGGAAATCTGTTTCACGGCGTCAGAAGCAGCAGTGGCTATGGTTCTATCAGCCTTTTTGCTTTTCCTGCCGGTGGAGGTGAACTGAACTGCTGCTCCCCGGAACAGAAGGGGTGTGTCTTAAACCAGCAGTACCTTTCCCATATATATATATCGGCCGGGGGCAGGAAAAACCGCCTGAAACAGAAAATGGGCCGCTGGTTCAATTTATCAACGGCGGCCCAGTCCCCGCTTGGGTTCCGCATTAACCAGTGCATAATTGATTTCAAGCAGGGAAAGGTAGTGGTGGTTTAAACTTTAAACCACCACTACCTTTCCCATACGTCGGCTGCAATCATATTCCTCCACGAAGTGCAGCGTGCGGTGTGTCGAAGTACGATGTGAACGGACTGTCACTCACTGTTGGAGGCGCCCTCTGGAAGCGGCTGTTGTGGAAAGCTCTGTGCTTGAAGGCCACGATGTGGGCTGGACGTGAAGTGGACCAGTGCAACTCCGGGGGAAGGAAAAGTCCGTGATTTGAGGACGCCTGTGTCAGCACCCACGACAGGTTTATCGGGCGCAGGCGTCGAACGGCTCGCAGTCTCCAGGACAATCACCTCTGATCTCTAGAGAAACCGCAGGGGCGCAGGGAAGTGCAACAGGAGAGAGAGGGATTGGCTAAATCTGGACATGCCCACAGGGTATGAGCGCAAACGAAAACGCTCCCTACGGTGGACGAAGGAAGAGACCAAAACTCCTGTCAGGACACAAAGGTTACTCACGCCAGGACACTTCCTGGATGTGTCTGACCGCAACTAGTATGGACAGATACGGATGCATGCGACTACAATTACGTCCAGCAATCCCTGGAAAATGTCCTAGTGTAAGTATGCCTTTAAAGTCTTAAAGTTTAAAACACTCAGTCCAAAGGTCCACCACTTACCATCACAAAAAATGTACAGAGTGCTGACCGCGAAACATGGGCATAGCTGTCGGGTTGGGTTGGACGCTCCAATAAATAGCAGCAATCGACGATGAATATCCATATTCCTCCCAGCACAAAGGAGAGCAAGACATTTATCTTCTTCCGGTTGCAACTCTCTCCCCTAGCTTCCCACACAGCACAGCCTTCATTGCGAAGTAGGCACGATTTGTAAACGTCTTCAGTAATCGCCTATTGCCCATGCCTCTACCTTTTCAACAGTCATCAATCTGAGCCACCGATGCAACTCCCGTCCTCAGAGCATGGCGGCGTAGCAAGACATTTGTCTTATTCCGGTTGCGACTCTCTCCCCTAGCTTCCCACACAGCACAGCCTCCATTGTGAAGTAGGCACAAGTTGCAAACGTCTTCGGTAATCACCTATCGCCCATCCCTCTATCTTTTCAACAGTCGTCAATCCGAGGAGCCACCGGTGCAACTCCCGTCCGCAAAGTATGGCGTAGTAGCTAAGAATGAATGACACCCCAAGAGTCTGCTCGTCTGTGTGTCTTCTCCTGTGTGAAGCACAACTCTCTTTTCTTCAGTGCAACGGCCCCTCCTCTTCTGTCCCCTCACCTTTCGAATGCCAGCCGATCTCGGCCGTTGACAGCAATCTTGCAAGCGTCAGTCGATATCCGCCATTGACAAATTGCATCCCCTTTTAAACCCGAGACGAAAACCGAGATTGTAATGTGGATGCTGCCTTGGTGCTGCGACAGAGAATGGCGTTGCCCTTTTTTGAAGTAGACGTAATGCTCAAGGCTGCCATTGCGGCTCGTCAGACAACCGCGCCGTTCATGTCAATATTGGGCCTTGCTCCACTACACATCACTCTACATGCATTCGGTCGCTTTCAGGACCAGGTGCATTCGGACGAGTCCAACATTTTGAATGTACCTGGTCCTGAAAGCGACCAAATGCATGTACAATGTTGTGCAGCGGAGCAATGCCAACCACCAATTCTTAATCCAGGCTGCCTTTAGCGTCCATGTGAGAGTCTTGTGTAATGGCTCTTCTTTCCAGCATGTGTGGTCTTCTGTCCAGCTGCTAATAGCATATAGGGTTCAGGATTTTGGCCCCTCAACACCCCCTGCCCTCCATAACCATGTTTTTTCTCAGCCTCTAACACAGCCTGAGGATGAAGAATGCTCACATCGCTCTCTTTGCTCTGGCAATCAATTCATCCTGCGAGAACAGAGGGACAAGTTTAGTTGATGCTGCCAGATGTGCTAGTGCAAAACTGAAGATCCTCATTATTTCCACTTCCGCTTCAAGGCAATCGAAAATCCCCGTTATTCCTCCTTTTCGCAGGCGCCACGCTAATCGTCTCCATATCAATGCAGTTCAAAAGGGGGAAAAAAAAAGGGCAACAGCCTTGAGATATCACCATCAAACCCATCCACCACATGTAATTCACAATGTGTCATTTACTAATTAGTAATTTCATTCATCTAGTTCCATATGGACGTGAACTCTAGTCTGCATTTCAAAAAGTTAAAACTTGAAAGGGTGTACCGACCGAGCTAGGCCGTTTGGTATCCTTTGATTCCTTTCAGGTTTAAATTTCCTGAAAGGCTAAACCTCATTATTCCTACTTTAGCAAAATTGAAAAACAAATCCATCCAGCGGCCTAGCTCAGTTGGTAAGGCACGCAAGTGGCATTCAGGAGGTCTTGGGTTCAATCCCCATTGGCCTCATGTACCTTCCTGGGCATGCTTGGCGCCCGCCACCTACAGATAGCCCGTTGGTCCCCCCAATGGGCATTAAAAGAGCAGTGTCTGCTGACGTTCATAAGGGGGAGGGGAGGCACAGCGACTGGCCACTCAGATGATGCTCGGTCCCTCTGCTACCGGCTGTCCCCTGGCCGGTGTCCCCCATTGGGGGTTCCCTGAAGGCAATCAAAGCCACCCTGGGCTGAAAAGGCCACCCGATGTCAGATTAGACACAATATTGAATTTACCTGGGCTGGTTAGTCCGATGATAATACCTCAAGGCCATCGCCCTTTTAAAACAAAAACAAAAACAAAACAAAAAAAAAACAAATCCTCTATCTTGAATCTTCCTTTTTTTTTTTGCTTTCATATTTTAGCATGGGCCATGTGCAAGAATGACACACACAAATAAAAAACTGGTCCGAAAAACGTATAAAACAAGGGAGAGAGAGAGGGGGGAGGGGGAGAAGGAGATGGAGAGGGAGGGAGAGAGAGATAGAGAGGGAGGGGAGAGAAAAAAAACGAAGTATCAAGGCAATTCATTCATACTGTAACAAAACAAACATCCCTAAACCACAAGTACCTCCGAGCCGCTTTTCCCGACGAAGATTTTGCACTGCACAGTGCACACCAAAAAAGAAACAGACACCCACCGGCACCTTTTTTTCTTTTCTGACTGGCGCAACCAGCCATTTTGGTCTGGTAGCATTAATCAATGTAATCATCCGAAGCACCCGGAATGTTGCATTTTCATCTCAAGTTTGCCTGGGTGAGGTACTGGTGGTTCGAAGGGGAGTACTCCATAGCTTCACCTATCCAGTGCCCAATGTTTAGTTGGGTGAACTGACTGTTTCTCCTATCCTCTGAATATGTGCTGATTAATAGTCATTATTATTCATTGTTTCTCCAAGCCCCTGAATGTGTGCTCATTAATAGTCATTATTCATACTTTCTCGTCAAGAAAAGTTGCACCAGAGGGTTTCCGGTCCGGAGTCGTGAACTTTGTAATCTAGAACACAATGCCTTGCAACTTGATATTGTCTTCCCCTGAATAACAGGCACGGTCATTATCGCTGTACCTAGACTGATAGTTGCACCAAATACGGCTACTTCGGGGAAGACGGTAGAGAAAATCGAGCAGAGAGCCTAATACAGAAGTCTCTGCACCTGTGCCTGCAAGGTGGCGTGTGACATTGTTGAATCTGTTTCGATCAATAGGTAAAAAGCTCAGATCCCGCTAGGCACATAACTCCAGGGCATACCCCCTTTGAAGCTAAGCAAAGGGGTTCGGTGATCCATTTCAGCAGGTCCTGCAGCGGATCCTTGTAGTAAAGGAGTGCAATAAGCCAAGTGGCATCTACATACAGTGGGACAGGGTCATGTGAACTATTCGAAAGAAGGCTCTGGATGTGGCTCAGTGGTACACACATGTACCTTTTTGTTAACACATCATGAGTTTAAATACTGATTCGGACGGCCCGGACAGGGTCATGTAAGTTATTAGAAAGTGGGCTGGCTCTGTATGTGCCTGAGTGGTGCGCGCATGTACCTGTTAGTAAACAGAACACGAGTTCAAATCCTGATGGAACCAGGTCAACACAAAAAGGTTAGCGGTTGCACCTTTTTACGGAGAGGTATTATGATCCTGTTCCATCCACAGTGCCAAACTCAATTTGCCACAAATGCAAGTCAGCCGAAAAACAAGAGAGAGAGAGAGAGAGAGAGAGAGAGAGAGAGAGAGAGAGAGAGAGAGAGAGAGAGAGAGAGAGAGA